GAAGGTTCCGTCTTCGAAGATGTAGGAGCGGATCTTGGGGGATGCGAAGGGGTCGCACGTGTAGCACGCCAGGCTGACGGAAGGCATCGCTCACTGACGCCAACATCCATATTACGCAGGCGCTTTCGACCGAGGCGGTTTCGTGGAATGTCAGTAGGATATTGGCTCGTAGTCCAGCGTGTAACCGAGCTTGAGCAAGGCTTGGCGGCCAATGTACTCTGAATACGGGGGCGGTATCGCCTGGGCGATGGACTCACCCTTTGTCAGCCAGTCGATCTGCATCGCGTCAGCCCACTCTGCGACGGTCCCTCGTCCACGGCCTGGGTCACCATACACGGCGAACATCTGGCCGGCTGAATCGGTCGACAGATCCCCACCTCGTGTCCTCGGTCGTGGGCCAGAGGTCCTTGCGGGTCTGTCTGCCTCCAAGATCTCGACCCGCTGTCTCAAATCCCGCTCGATCTCTCTGATCGACCTGTACCTGACGCCCGACGGCGAATAGTAGTACGTATCGGTCATACCCGCACTTTCACCAGTTTTCCGCACGACCGTCCGTGATTTCCATTCGTCTTCACCAGTCCCCATCGTGAGCTGGAGGGTGGGCACATCCGGATCCAACGGATCGAGAGGTTCGGTCGATGTTTTGCGTCCGAGGTTCGGGGATCGATCCCCCAGCGAGCGCCCGGCGTGACTGCACCTGCGATCCTTGACTTCGAGCCCGAAATTCGATTCGAAAAGCCTGTGCCGAAACACCTTCAGCTTTGGAAACATCGTGCCGCACAGCATCGCCAACGGCCCCGATAGCTCGCGCACAGCACCCATGACGTTCTCTATCACGTACGGTTTTCCACTGGCCACCAACTTCTCTCGAGTAGACGGAATGAGGTTCTCGTGATTCCAACGGTGGCCATATTGCTCGCGCTTCGCAGTAGGAATGATAGCGGTGAAGCTCTGGCATGGCGGTGAGGCCCACACGAACTCTGCCTCGGCGAGCTCAGCTTCGAGGGCAGATTTCCGTACGAACTCGAAGGGGTACTCTGCCTGCTCATCGATGTCATATCCGATCACGTCGAATCCCGCCAGAAAGAGCCCCATCCCAACGCCTCCTCCGCCGCAGTAGAGGTCGACGGCGAGGGGTCGTCTGCGCTCACCATCGGGACCAAGGGGTACGCAACGCTCACCGATGGTGGTCAGACGGGCATCCATCGTTCTATCGTCTCGAATGCATAAAAATTCGAGAAAGGTTGGAACGAGCGAGCGTGCGTCGGTCTGGCGAACCGTCATAATCCAGTGCCAGAATCTAAGAATTTTCCCCGCGTTTCGTATGTCACCATGCCTCCTGCATGCCGCGTGCCGCGTTGCGAGGCAATCCGGGGGGATCGTTGCAGGTGTCCCAATCCCTGGATCGAATTCGTGAGCAAGACGGCGAGGGAGCGTCGGCGTCAAGGGATCCCTAGATTGACTCGGCAGCAGCTTTCGTCGGCGTACAAAGAAGCCAGAGATAGGGGCGACTTCGTGCCGCCCGAGCACCTGAGAGAGAAGGTGGCGCCCTGCAAAACGGACATATTCAAGCTGTGTGCATGGCGGATGAAGCGCAGGTCACCCCTGATGATCGACCTGGACTGGAGAAAACTCAGGAGCAATGCTGCAAAGTCGCTGCTCGACAAGCGTGTCGCGGCCTTCATCGAGCAAGAGACGAACGGGCCGGACCAACAGGGCGCGACCCAAGTCGAGGGGTTCAGGAGAGCCTTCTCGAGACTCGGGTGGACAGAACCACCCCCGGGCATCCCGCTCGGTGAGGTGAAGGAGATGATCACCGATAGACTGGGCCGCAGAGAATTGACGGTGCAGAAGTACATCGGTGGTGGTATCTCCGGTTCCGTTTTTCGAGTGGAGCGGAGAGAGGCGGACGGAAACATCGCGAAAGCGGTGGTGAAGATAGTTCGCATCCGGCACGACGGCGAATGGACGACTTTCGTCAGGGAGGTCGACAAGCAACGGCAGTTTGCTGAATTACTGGATGACCACCTAGAAACCAAGACCCTGCGCGTCCCCACAGTGCACGAGATGTGGAAGCTACCTGGAGGCATGGAGGCTGCCGTATTGATGGAGTCCATCGACGGGTCCCTCGGCTCATTCGTGCGCAGATATCGCGACAACCCGAGCTTCCTCCTCGAGATCGCGAGGCAGCTGAAACGCACGGTGGCATCACTGCGCCGGAAGAAGGTGGTTCACGGCGACTTACATTACGAGAACATAGGCTACAAGTTACTACCGAACGGCAGACCCGAAATCTACATCATAGACTTCGGGCGAAGCGTGGGGCCACTGACGGCGACTCGATTCGAGAGGGTCGCAGACATCGACCGCTGGTGCGTCTGGAGAGCAGCCTGCACGAGAGGCACGTCCGCCGCAGCATTCAACAAGGCGCTGCATGAGGTGAGCTTCCCCGGGAGCAGAGTGATGGACGACTGTACAGGATTTGGGAGCAAGCCGATCTCTGATGGTATGGATGCGAAGATGGTGGAGCGCATAGACGACCTCAGCTTCGGTAAGATCGTCGAGCTCATGATTTCAGTCGATCCGACATTCAAACTTTAGGTGTCCGATACAGCCCCTCGAGAATCGCTTTTTGGCCCGCAAGATCCAACTTCGGAGACCTGACGACGTACTCTCCCGTCGGAAAATTGATTCGCAGCGGCAGATTATACGCATGTGCGTGAGTCTCTAGCTCGCCTAGCCGCACTTCGTGAAGTGTCGAAGATGGGTCGAACTGGTATTGGAACTCGCATGCATACTCGCGATCGGAGAACACCATCGCCATCGGCGGCTCCATCGCTGTCAGTGGCGTCAATGGTGCTCTCAGGATGTTGCTCCGATGCTTCAATACGAACACCTTGTCGGCGTTCGAAAGCGATGGCGGGCTGATGTCACATGCCCTGACACCGAGACCGGCGATCGAGCGGATGGGTTGCACGAATCTAACAGCATGAGACATGACACCCTTACCCATCCGAAAGAAAAGATGCGTGCAGAATGTACGTGATGACGATCGTCCGTTTCTTTTACCAGGGGCTGCCACGTCAGCAAATAAAGCGTCTTGTGGAGGAATCCGAGGTCTTTCCTCTTAATGGATTCCCAAGTGATTATTATCACAAGACAGTAAGACAGTAAGACGCA